CACGACTGGGTTCGGCCTCATTTCAGCACAAAAAGAGCGTGGGAAGACAGGTGGTCAATCCGGGGCTAGAAAGAATGCATGATCAATTGACCAATGAGGTGCGCTGAACGGAAGCGGATCCAACCACAGCGTTTCTTTCTCAATTCTAAGTGATGGTTTCTCAATTCCAAATGACGGTTTCGCAAACGAAAGTTATGGTTTGTCAAATCTTTGCTAAAATGGTAAAGATGCTTCGGATACATGTTCAAACAAGGGAAGATGACGATGTCTTGTGGCGCTACGTTTACTTCTGATATGTTGTGACAGCCCCCTGCCCCGAGCGGTAAAGCACACGATGACCTTGAACATTCCGCTTGTGACTCTGTTTCCACTGCTCTGCTTTTGTGTATCGTCTGTCACGTCTTATCGATGCGTTGCCGTTTTATTGTGTGGATACCTGTGTTCCGCTAGGCTGATAAGATCGGTTCTGGTTCTGGTGTGTATCCCGGGTACCAAGAATTTTAAAACTTGCACCGGGATTTGACCAATCTCAGCAGATCGCTGAATGTCCAATTCGCTTTCTGCGAATTAGTTGATAATAGGTTAATTTTGTCATAAACCATCCAAAAAACGATAGTCTTACAAGGGAGTATGTGAAATTAGGCCTTCAAATATGGACTGTAGTATCGGAAGTCAATTTCTTCTACACCTACTTACAGTGTTATTTCCATATTGGTAGGAAGCTCTTCCAACCAAACTGAGTTGGTTTTCTTGGTGCACCACATTAATCGAGGTAAGGCGAAGTCGGAAGAAAGTCAAGGGCGGTCAAATCCGGACCTGACGCAAAGATAGGGGGATCAATAGACTTGGACATGTACTGTGGTGCACCCATTTACTTTGGGCACAGATCTAGCTTACCTCTGTTCTGCATGCTTATTCTCTTGCGTGCAGGTAACCGACTGGAGATGGAACAGAGTGCCAGACAACAGTTTCAGTTTCAGTTTGCACAAGCATTAACCATGCACTATGGTGCGCCAGTTTTGGTTGCTATCTTTCGGCTGCCCATTTGGATGAACATTAGGAGAAAGGTTGGAAGTAGGATCGAAGAGAAAATTGAAAAGTTCAGTGGATTAATGATACAGAGAAATTGAGAAAATGCATGAACGCCACTGTTTACCACACCCAGCCATATCATTCAGTGCCTCTAACCATCGGGTACGACCATCCCGAGGTCCCCATCCAGGGAGCCTAACGGGACCTGTGTGACCTAAACTCCAGGTTAGGGTTTTCACACCCTCGTGCCAGTTCTTAGCTTGACCGCCTTGGGCTTTCTTCCACCCACTACCTGCCTCGGCAAACATCGCTCGCCTTGGCAGCCTATTTGGAGACATGCGTAACACATGCCCCAACCAAAGTAATCTACGGAGGTCGACCACTTGCTCCAGTGGGTGACCGCGGTTGCCTAAAACTTTTCGCCTGGCCTCAGCATTACTCGTCCGGCTGCCCCACCAGATTCGTGCAATGCTAAGTAGACAGCGGTGTTCAAACACCGACAGTCTATCTTTGTCCTGTTTTCTTAATGGCCAAGTTTCTGCTCCATATAGCAGAACTGCAGCATATACTCGACCCTTCACAGACAGCCGGATGTCGCGACAGCGCCACAGATGTCTCAAGTTGGCAAATGCCAATCGAGTCTTTTGTATGCGAGCTGACACTTCATCCGTGGTGCGTCCACCGGATGAGATATAGCTGCCCAGATAACAAAACTTATCCACCTGCTCTATTACTTCTCCAGTAAGAGTGAGACTGGGTGCTGGATCAATCCAGTCTTGTAGTAACATTTTACACTTTGAAGGTGCAAAACGCATACCGAAAATGGCAACACTAGCACTCAAACTATCCAGAAAAGCTTGTAACTTACCTGGATCTTCGGATCAATTGCATCTACTACCAAAATTATGTGATGGTAACAATAATCTTGTTATTACATAATAAATACAATACGATTCAAACGGATCGGAATCTGATTTGAAACAAAACATGTGCCGACTTAGTTTTTCAAAGTTAAACTCAACTTGAGACTCCAGATGAACTGTTTTCCGCGGGAGAGAAAAGAGGGTTCATGTATCGTAAGACTGAAGAAGGATCGATATAAGGGAATCTACATGTGAGAAGGAAGACTCACCTCGTCAGTCGAAGAACGACACAAGCGACCATCAGCTCGTGTATAGTTGGTCACCGAACCGGAGGCATCGAAACCAAGCAATTCACTACTTAGACTGCTTGTGCGTCCAGACTGCACCTCGTGCAAGTGACGAAACAGATTGAGACGAGCCCGACCACGACCGTTGTCTAGTTCACCGTCTGTCAGGACACCGATCAAAGTTGACTTTCCCGCATCGACTCCACCAAGGACGGCAACGCACACGCTTGGTTCCTGAGAGTTTGAGAGATTCATTTATATGGATCACAAACTAGACCAAATTAAGCGTGAGGATGGTAGCTGTAAATGTGAGGACTGTTGAACATGGAACAAAAAAGTCAATTTAATCATCCTGAGCGAATTATGATTAAACGATCAATCAAGATTAGAGTCGAATCACGCTGAGTAATAGTTGCTAACGGTTTCAAACAGAAACGCCTTCTGCACTCGATGGGGCGCGCGTATGCTGTTTCAGTTAGGGATGAACAGGCATCGGATACACAGACTCAGACACAGGAGAGTGTCAATGGGTAAAGTGACTGGCTTAAAAATAACCACAGAATACTTGGAAACCCATTCACACTAAGATCTCTTCAACAGATTTACCGGAGGTGGGTGGGGATAACGCTATTTCATCATCTAATGAACATGGACAGAGTAATTTGCTGCTGTGGAATTACGAATCAAGTATTTATGTTGAATGTAGAAGGACAGTTTGGGTCGGTTCAGGAAAAAGCTGCCATGTTTCTGACTGCGAGCATGCCGTTCGAGAAGTTCCATTGTGTGATGGCACGCACCAATCCAACCCTAGATTCATGCGTATTGAATTGAAATAACTGCGATCAGTGCACAATATTTCACTGAAAAGATTGCGCCTAATCAAACGACATGGAATTTGTACGTGAAAGCTGCAAATGAATCATAATCGACATTATCGGAGTGACTATCTCTTCATTCTAGTGTAATAAACACGAGAATGGGTGAATAAAACACTAATATTGACGAATTGTTCGGTACTCTAATCTAATTGAAAATCTGAGGCTGGGAGAACAAGAGTATTATAAGTTGCGGCGAGATGATCGAACACTGCGCACGAGCGAAAGTTTGACGCACTGCAAGCACACACGTACCAAGCACGATCGCGTGATACCAGACGCCGCACGAAGGCGCACTTGGTCCACGGACGCGTGATGAATCAGTCATTGATACACTGACCCCACCATGCGTAGGTGTGATTGGCCGGCCAAGACATCGGAGCACCGGACTGACACATGGCCTTTACCGCTTGAGTCTATCTGCGCACCTCAACGTAGAACTATCCTCTCAAGGTCCTAGTTCTGAACGATCGATCGGATAAATGCAATGAGACACAAATACGCTTTTTAGCGATCAACCAGATATTGAAGAATGTTCGACATTAGGATGTTCGCAGTACGTGCGAATCCACGCTAGAGGATATGGGCATTATCATAGTCAGCGATGTGGCCTTCAGTCACAGCGTGAAGCACGACTACCGAGGTCAGCTCTGATTTCATTAAGGCCACTTTGTTGATTTGTTTGCATTTTTCTTTTCTTTTTCACCCTGAGATNCCCTGAGATCCTGATATTTGACTGTTTGAACGTTAGTTCAATACCATGGGTAAGACAATCCCTGAAGATCATCTCATAAACACAATTATCTCGTTCTTGTACACATAAATGATATTTTGCACTCTCGAGTTAATGCTGTAGATGACTGCTTATGCGAATGAATACGCAGGAACTGTAGACACTAAGTATTTCTTCTTGATCGCCTTATACTGTCTGGTAAACACTCAAGGGCTTGGCATTATTTAATATCCCAGATTCATTCAATTGTACATGGGTCTTGAGAGTGTTTACTCACATCGACTGATTACTGTCATTTTTTAAGATTTTGACGATCTCTTGATATCACAGGTGCGGCATCCTCGTGTATTGTTAGGCAGACAGAAATCGCAGCTTGTACAGCGCTGGTTACCATTCTATTCGTCCTTTCGGTAGCTTGAATGTTTTCTAGAGCCATTTGGGGCCTATTTAGCCAGAAACCAGTGTTGTTCGCTACATCAGGTCCCAGGGCAACCGCTTCCATAATTGAACAATTAGTCTTCATCACCGTGGTGTTCATCCGTTCTCCAGCTTACCACAGTAATTGGTGGTAAAAATAAGTTATCCAATGACGACCACCAGTTCGTGATCATCGATCTCAAATCTCGAAGTGATAACAGTTATCCAGGAGTATGCAATGCATGATAACACATTTCAGTTAGAACCCAAGCATTGCATTGTACACAGGAGGGAATAAATAGACGACAGAATGTTTTGTATTTTCAAAAAACAAAAAAATAGCTGTAATCTGGAATTATGGCACCTTGGGACAGCCACCTAATTTGAACGAGTGGCATTTTGTGCACAATACGAACTACCAATAGCAATGCGGATGGAAGATGAGAGTAAAAACGATGTTGAGTGAAAAAGTAAGAGAAAAAACGGTTGCGGTAAGATGGAGGCAATGAATGAACGGAAGGCAGCCAGACGGTAAGATAAGGACTTAGTGGCTGGTGAGGGGTATGAAATTAGGTTGAACTAGATCCAGAGATGGAAATGAATGAAACTCTATCCCACACAAAATTGCAGTATTAAAAGGTAGAGTTAATCTGAGATATATATAACGGAAATATTGCACTCAATTATTGTGTTATACCATTTCACAAACAAAATCAGATCACTGGACACAAAAGACTAAAAATACAAATAACCGCTGTTGCTTGTTCAACATGTTGTAGCGTAATAATAGATCTCCTGCGTATGATGGGTTTGGTGAACTGCTCAAAACCCATGTTACTGTAAAACTTGGCCGCACACTGATTAAACAGGTCATGCATAGAGCATAAGAACTTGGGTCTCCTTCTTCGTATTTCGCCCTCTTTTAGAACTAACTAATACGGATTATCAATACACTGACTCTAAGAAACCGCGTAACCATAATCCACACAAAATACGTCAGCGTGACCGAACGGAATTTTCGGTAAACAGATTTCACCGGCTCTGACTCCTATTGAAATCCCCTGCAGTGATCCGCGTTTGCAGCCTCTGCTAGAATCATCCTATTTGCCATATTGTTGTGGTGCGTGTTTTCATTGAAGTGAATGAGCGAAAAGCTGATCTCCTTGGCTAAAACCTGACTGATCGGTAGTCAGCCTTGTTAAACCCTGATTTCAGAAAATCCTCGATGATGCATTACCCATGGGTAGATGGGCATCAGTTCCGCTGAGACATCGATTATATTAAGCACGGG